TCCCATGGCATCCAAGAAAGTGGCTGGCCTTTTTAATCTGCCTTCCACGAGACCCCAAGGCATATTGTGAGAGCCGTTGGCTATGGATTTGGAGGTTTTTCTCCCAGTGGTCTTGGCTCCCTCCAACCATCTCCTGTCTGACAGGTGATCTCTGATGGGGTGACAGAGACAGCTGGCTCCTTTGGCCCTTACAGACCTATCCCTCCCAGTGGCTATCATAGTAAGGGCCAGGCGCTTCTCAAAAATCTGGGCCCTCCTCTCGGTCAGTCACCTTAGCATCTCTCCAACAGGAAACACTGAGTCTTTCCAAGGAACATGCTGGACATGGAAAGATGTCAGGGCAGCTTCAGGTAAATTTGAATAAAGGAGCCATCTGTACTTATAGGTGGGCAGTGATGATGATAATCATAATTACAACTGCTATTTATTGAAGGCCTCTCAAGTTCTAGGCCAGGTATACAGACTATTCATTTAATCCTTAGAATGTTCTTACTTGGTGAATATTGCTTTTTACAGATGAGAGAATGGGGACTGAAAATGATTAGTAACTGATGCAGTTGTAGAACTTGAACCCAATTCTGAGTCTGGGGGCTCCTTCCATGAACCTGCAAATTACAGTCATGTCTTTCCCCACACACTATTCTCTTTTGAGTCTTACCAACCTTGTGAGACAGACAGAACAAGTTTCATAAATGAAGGATTAGAGGGAGGAGTCATCCCAGGCCAGTTGCGGTTTAAGCACAGGGCATTTGACTCTCCATCCGGGCTTTACCTTTCATGACAGCCTGCTACGTCCTCCTGCACACACTCCCCAGTAACATCCAAGAGACTGTGATGCTATTGCTTTCATGAGCAAGGGTGGAGTTTCCTAGGGCTGTTGTAACAAATCACCACAAACTCTGTGGCTTAAAGTAATAGAAGTTATTTTTTTACAGTTCTGGAAGCTACAGGTCCAAAAGTAAAGTTAGCAGGACCTGGCTTCTTCCAAAAGCTCTAAGGGAGAATCCTTGTCTCTTCCAGTTCACAGAGCCTCTGGGCACTCCTTCTCCTTTGTGTGTGTCCCCTATAAGTATATTTGTCATTAGTTTAGGGTCCACCTGATAATCCAGGATGGTCTCATTTTGGGATTCTTAACTTAACAGCATCTACAAAATAGCATCTACCCTTTTTCTAAATAAGGTCACATTTATAGATTCCAGGGCTTAGGCCATGGGCATATGGTTTAGAGGCCACCATCCAACCCACTGTGAATTACTAGTATTTTAAGACATAAACCCTTCAGGAAACATAAATACACTAAGTTGATTAGAAAACACATAAGGGGCCTCCCTGGTGGTGCAGGGGTTAAAGACACAGTGCTATCAAGCTACTGCAGCACAAGTTCAATTTCTGGCCAAGGAGCTAACCCACATGTTGCAGCAGACCTCTCCTGTCTTGCCCGCCGCTCCCTCAGCAGTGTATCTCAGTAGATCTGCCTGTTCTGCTCCCCACTCTGTCTCTGGTGAATCCTCTCACTCCCTCACCTCTGGCCTACACCCCACCTCTTGTATGCATAAATAAATAAATCTTTAAAAATAAAAGAAAACACATACAGATCTTAATTTCAATCGAACTTCCTATTGTTTTCCTCCCAAGTATAAAGTGAGGATTGCCATAGGGAATGATTTGGCATAAGATTAGGAACAGGAGGGGATTCTTTTAGACAAATTAATCTGAAGGGTAGAGGAAACAAGGTAGGTGGCTTTGAAAGTCATGGCACAACCAGAAGGCAGATGAGAGAAGATGGCATGTGAGCACTGAGGGGGCATAGGAAGGGAGCTGGAGGTGAATGGTAAAGTTCTGACAGCCACTAGTGTCATAGCCATGGCCTGCTGGGTGAGATTTGGGGGAGTCCTTGAAAGCCATTTCTAGTTTGGGAGAGTAGAATGGTACGAGGGAGAGTAGTAGGAAGAGAAGACAAACCTCACCAACTTTATTCTCATTCTGGTTTCACTTGACCTCAGCCCATGGGGAGATGTGGAGGGTCTGGGGTAGGGGGTATTGACTAGAAGCCCAAAAGGTCCAGAAGCCAAGCTGACCAATAGAACCAGACTCTGCAGAAGCTGGAGTAGCCAGCTGCGAGCTGCTCTGTGACCCACTCTGGTGGAGGGGGGCTGGAAGGAGTGGGGAGACCTTTACTAGCAGCAGAAACATCCTCTAGGGGAAGAGCAGGATTGCGATGATTCCCTGGGGGAAGCTCCACTCAGAGTTGCTCCCACTTTCTACAGCAACTGCAGAACACATGGGCCTGCTGGCCTAGTGCAGCACTGAGGCCTTTGGGGATCCCCTGCCCCTGGGCTCTTTCAAGAAGGGGGGTAGCCAGCATGCCAGAAAACCTTTGTCCCCAGATGCTGCTGGCAGACCCAGTGTCAATAGTGCCAGACAATATCCTGCACTCCATAGCAGAACTGTGATTCCGCCACCGCCGGTTCCCTTCTTCAGCACCTACACATTCCCACTGCTTTCCATTTGAAGACATCGAACCACCATTTCTGATACAATCCTGCCCTCCATGATATTCTGTTTATCTGGCATTTGGAAAAGGATGTTTTACAGACAGAATGGCCACAAAAATCACTGTTGTTTTTCATAGGTGTGGATTATTTGACAAGCAATAACAACAACAAAAATTATTAAAAGGATTATCGAAGCTGTTGTGGGCTCATGGAAGTCACATTTGTGGCTACTGAAGGCTTTGGGGAGCTTCCCCATGTAAACAGAGGTCTCTGCTCCCCACAGTTCTCAGGTTGCAAAGGATGGTTAACTCCTCGGTGTCAGAGCATCAATCCCCCTGGTCGCATTTAACATGAGACTCTAGAGAGTCCCCTGAGCTTCTCCCATCAAAGCAGTTTCCCAGAAAGCTGGGGTCAGCCAGGAGGCAGGAAGTATTCAGCTGAAGGCCGTTTTCCCTTAGGACTAAAGAAGGGGGCTCCAGATGGTAAGTGTCAAGTAGAACACAGTGTCTTGGGAGCTCTATTTTTTTAATATACTTTTCCCCATGTACCTCTTGGTAGTTCCATTCCCCATCCCCACCCCAAGGGAGCCTGCTGTTCCTTTAGTCTTCAGTATAAGTGTCCCGTGACTGATGTCACAAAAACCCAGCCCCTGCTTACCCACTGGTCATACTGATGCTTACGTAATTCACCTCAACTCAGATGAGTGCTGACAAATCACCTGCCCCAGTCATGCACTGCTACCAAGGAGTTTTTGTGGGAAGAGTCAAAAAGCACGTGAGAACTTGCAGACTTTGCTGCTTAAAGTGATCCTTCCAGATTCAAAGCCTCTGAGACACATCTATTCTCCAAATCTTTATTTAGTGTTCCAAGTATCATCTCAGGTATGTATGATGCAGAAAAGTACAATAGCAATAATACTAAACACTCACCCAACACATATTTATGTACAAAGTTCTGTGCTTAGTGAATTACATGGATTATCTCATTTAATGCTCTTAATAACCCCTTGGACTGAATAACATTATTATCTATTTCACAGAGAAGGAATCCAAGACATAAGAGGATAAATAACTTGCCCAAAGTGTTTCAGCCAAAAAGCTGTAGAGCTGGGATTCGAACCAGGGTAGACTCAACCCAGGGTCATCCCTTCAACCTCTGTGTAATATAAGATGTATCTCCAATATGCTTGTAATCTAGTAGGAAGGATAACCCAACCATAACACAAAGCATTGTGAGTGTTTCTAAATGTACAGAGAAAGGATTAGGTGTATATAAGAATATTTTTGGGGGGCCTCCCTGGTAGCACAGGCAGTTGAGCACAGTGCTGCGAAGCTGTCTGCAGTCTCTGCGGCATGGGTTTGATCCCAGCCAGCCTGGGAGATACCCACATGGTGTGACAGACCTCTCCTGACTCACCCGCTGCTCCCCTCAGCAGTGTATTTCAGTCAGTCTGCCTGTTCTGTTCCCCGCTCTGTCTCTGATGAATCCTCTCATCCCCCACACATCTGGCCTGTACCCCAGTTCTTGTATGCATGAGTAAATAAATCTTTAAAAAAATAATTTTTTTTTTAGTAATGGTGATTTATAACATTATATAGGTTTCAGGTGTACAGCTTTCAAAATTAGCAGATGCTATATATACTACATTAAGTTTGCCACCAATTGCCAAATTTCTAAAATTTACCATACCAATTGCCCCTACTACCCAAATTACCCACTCCCTCCTCCCCTCTTTCCTTCTGGAAACCACTATTTTATTTGTACAGTCTACGATTTTTTTTTGTTTTATTGTTCATCAGTTTTCTCTGTCTTCCACATATGATATTTGTCTCTCTCTGCCTGACTTACTTCACTTTAACTTAATACTTTCTAAGTCCATCCATTCATGTTGTTGCAAATGGCAGGATTTATTTATTTTTGGTAGCAGAGCAGTTTTCCATTATGTATCTATACTACATCCTTCTTAGTCAATTATTTGTCATTGGGCACTTAGGTTATTTCCAACTCCTGACAATTGTAAGTAAAGCTGTGATGAATAAGAGGGTACACACATCTCTCTGAATTAGGGGTTTTGTATTCTGGTAAATACCCAGAAGTGGGATAACTAGTTCATACAGTTTCCATTTTTAACGTTAGGAAGGAAAATTTTAAATAAGTTCAAACTTGAACTGGATGTTGAAGAGTAGGTAGTTAGACATATTAACAAGAGCTTATCAAATACTGTGTGTATCAAATATTTTGCCAGTGCAGCAACCCTATGAGGAAAGACTATTGTTGATTCATTGAACATATTTGGAAATTGAAGGCTTAGAAAACTTGCATAAACTCTAGATGGGTGGAAGTAAAGCTAATGTCCAGAAAAGGGGATAACATCCCCATTTGCAAAGAAGTGGCACCCTCTGGTTGAGTCCCACTTATAAAACAAGTTGCAGCTTAAGGAAAGATTTTGTTTTACTCATGGAAACTCATTTGAGATGCATTTCCATAAAAGGACATTTCACTCACCTTCCTGCGCCTCTGAGAGGTCCTTGCCTTGTGTGTTGGACACCAGAAGCCAAACTAGGAACGGTGAGACAGCTGTGGCTAAATTTCACAGGCACCTCCATTTCATTAATCTTTGAACCACCTAGTCACCAAATCTGTTTCAAAGTCAGCTCTTCTGCTTCTTTCCTCCTGCTGCCCACCTTTGGGCTGTGTTTCTGTTTGTTAGCAGCTTAGCCCTGCCTCAGTGGGGCAGGAAGAGCTCCAGGACTCAGACTAGTTTCTTTGGCTCATCGTTACTGGCTCTGATGAAAGCCAGGTTGGAGAAGGGGGGTGGAGAAGAGTGAGGTTACTGTGTCAAATTCTTTCCCATTGTGACACCAGCATGAGTATTATATATCCTCTACTCAGTTCTCTCTGTCTACACCAATTCTATGAGGCTGCAGAGAGCCTCGTTCACACTTAGTAGAGGCTGTCTAACTGCAGAGAATGATGAAGCCACACGCGCTGCTCTGAGCTCCCTACCCTAGACGCTTTACACTGCTTATCACTCTGATAAGGCAAAAGGGAAAGACTTTTATGCCAGAACTTGTGCCTCAAGTTACTTTTTGGTCATCCTTGGCTATAGAGCCAAAGTGAGAGCTGCTAGATACAAAACTGACTCAGTTTTAAGTGAAACTACCCATTCTAACATTTATACAGCACTTCATTTTCCACTTATTCCCTCCCTCGTCTTCCCTTTAATTGATGGGTTTTATTATTCCCATTTTATAGGTGGGTAAGTTTCAGTAATGACGTATACAAGAAGCTAGTTTCCTAATGTAGGAATGAATTGGCGTGAACTTTTGTCATCCTAAAGCCACTTTGTTTCCCTTCCAGCACACAATCTCTGTGTCTGAACTGTTTTAGTAGTGATTGGCTTTGTTCACTATCTTTTTTCTCAAAAGGAAGATATGTGTTTCATTACTACCAGCTTCCAAGCATCGCAAAACTGGGTCTTCCGTTCTAGGAAAGGCGAGACCTTGGCTCTCACAGATGTGGGGCTGTTTCCTCACCTGTGAAATAATGGGTTTGGATTGAGTAATTTCCCAATTTGCTTCAAGTTCTGAATTCTCTGCTTCCATGCTAGTCTTGGCTCACTCCTTTTTTAGGTCCAAAGTTAGCTGTGGGGGGATACTTGTTTTCTTCCCAACCGGGCCTGTGCTTGATAGACTGATGAACCATTTAGTTTTTCTCTATCCCATACTTCAGATGAGTTGTCTCTGTGACTTTTCTGTGCTCTTGAGGCTAACACAGTCCTGCAGTGAAATGACTCCATGATGTCCTTGGCAACCTGGGCAAGTCCTGGGAGGTCATTCCTGGGATGGGGCATCGAACAAGTGCTTCGGGCTGGTGGAGGCTTGACAAATACTAGATGCTTCCTTTGACCTTTGGGCAATGCTGGACAATGGGCTCAAGAGCACTGGCTGCCAGCGGGATACCCTGGCCGTTGAGTGTTGCGTCTGTCATCCGCTAGCAAGCTGGACAGCTTTAGATGGGCCAGGAGGGATTTAGCAGGTTGGACCTAGTGGAAGAGGATGGTTCCTCAGTCCCTGAGACCCTCCAGTGTCCCAGGCACCAGGTCTCTGCATGGAGGTCATTTCCTCTCGTTACAGGAGAAGTTGCCCTCCCAGCTGGACCCAGAGAAGCACAGCTGCGCACTAATAAACAGGCAGATGGCAACCAAATAGCCACGGCAGTGCCCAACTGTATCTCCCTAGTCCTTAAAAGGAATCATAACCCATGTGCCGGGCACTCTTGGGAAGAGGCAAGGGCAGTTTTGACAAGTAGCATTGCTCATAGTGGAGTTTCAAATAATCCTTGCACCCAAGTCAGATGCACCCTTCACCAAACCTGGGAGTACATTCCTGGAGGTGATAAGCAGGCTTAGGCTCCTGGGCAGATTTCAGAGTAGGTGTATTCAGTATAACCTAGTTTGGAGGTCTTCCCAATGTAAGAATAATCCTGTGGCTTTCTGGAAGACTCCCCAAAGGCAGAGCAGCACCCTGCTGCTGCAGAGAATGGTGTCAGTGGGCAGAATGGGCAGAAGCTAACAAATGGTTTCCTCTTAGCCAGCTGGGACAGAGACTCCCCATGTGAAACAGAGCTGCAGTTTAATGGCACGGAACAAAAGCAGCTAAGCGGCTGCCAATAGGCATCCAGTTGAGTCCCAGAACCACAGTAAAAAATGAGGGGGAGAAGGGGAAATAACCAGCCCTGCCTGGTTGATTTGTGGTGTCTGCATTGACGCTGCATTTGTATTCGTGGTTGCTCTGAAGAGGAGGTGGGCTCTAATGATATCGCTTTCCATCTCAAGGCCAGAGATATAATCGCCTGCCATTACTCCTTAATTACATGGTAACTACTATGCCATTACTTTCTAACTCCAGTCTAATTGCAACTTGCTTCTGATTAGTGGGCAATAAACATTCACAAACAGGGTCCAGAAATCTATTTCCATAAAGCTTACTCACAGTCTAAGAGAAGGAATGCAAACATACAAATTGGGTGACAGCAGAGAGCCCACCCCAGTAATTACCATAAGGAACAATTGCTTGAGCTTGAATGACCCTCCTGGTTTTAAAGAAGTGACTTGGGGGGTGCCGAGATTGTAGGTTCCTGTATGCTCTGCAGGCATAATCCAGGGAGCTGAGCTGCTGTGCCCAGAATCCTGAACTAAGGTCTTAATTCTTTTATTTACTGGTTGTAATGTCCTTTGATAGTAAAAGAAAGTACAACTGTTATTGAGAAGACTTTAGCCAGCTCAGACCTTCATGTGCACATGAATCCCTGGGGATCTTAGGATCTAGCTCAGTAGGTGTGGGTGGTGTTGAAACTGATGCTGATGCTGGTCCACAGACCACAGTGTGGGTGGCTTTGGGTCGTGCTGCATCACAGAGGTAGCTGTGGCTCAGGAGAAGGGTGGGCAGGATGATCATGATGCCCCAGGTGGGAGCCACACCCAAGTCGACTCCTGTCCAGGGACAGTGGACAAACAATACAGGACAAAGTTACCCACATCTGACCCAGGGTCAGGACCCTGCATCTGAAAGGATAAATTTCCACAGAGAGAGGACACCAGGAAAGTTCTGAAGAAAAGATATTTTCTTTGACAATGGCAGAGATGTTCTAGTATCAGAAAGTATCAGCAGAGCAGATAGCATAGGGGCCCTGGATTCTGCTCTATCCTCAGAATCCAGCATGGACCACAGACAGGGCTCGGTAATTATTCAATAGAAGGAAGAGAACAAGGATGTGAGGAGGAAAAACAGTAGGGGGAGGGAAGGACAGAAGAGAAGAATGGATTTATTTTGGGGGAGGTGGGAAGAATAGACACCGCTGGCTTCACACTGTTGTTAATGGCTGCACTGAAAAGAAGCGCAGAATTATAGATGGCTGAAGCTGGAAGGCATCTTTGAAGTCATCTTTTATAGCCTCTCATTTCACAGTCCAGGAAACTGAGACTAAGTTTCTTTTCTGCAGTTACACAGGGAGATTCTGGCAGGGCTCAGACTAGACCCCAGTTTTCCCAGCCTCCCACCCTGCCTTATTTCCCAGGCTCTCAAACCATGTAGGGGAAACTCTTTGGTCCTTACATGCCAAGAATTCAGAAGGAATAGAGGCAGGCTCTGGGGCTACCAAGAACCATGCCTCTCCTTGACTCCGCTGAGCTCTTGGTACTTCAGCTATTTACACCAGCTACTTGATTCTCTAGGGAAGGCATGTGTTTCTTCTGTTCCCATCCTACAGCTGGGGGAAGCCAGCTGTCCCAGAGCCCCGAACCTCAAAGTTCTGATTCAGAGTGGTGGTTCCTTTCACAAGCCTAGACCACAGACCACCTAAACAGGAGGTGTGGGCACCTAGGGAGGCATAAGGGGCACTGCCACTAACTCAGAGGGCATCCCTGAGACATGTCCTCAGACATACCTGAAATGTTATAGGACAGTTCAAGGCAGTTGTGCCAGGTCGGTGGGGCCTCAAGGCAGGACTAGTAGAGAAATGCTGTGGCAGTGAAGATGAGGGACTGGTAAGAGTAAAGGCAGAGTGGCCTGACCTGACAGGCCACTCACACAGGCTGCTCTGTCCACCTCTCAGACAGAGAAAGATCGCCTAACCCCACAGTCAAGAATTCAACATTTATTTTTTGCTTTCTTCAAAGTGCCATTAAACGTGACCATCATACATTCATAGGCATAAACTGGAAAGGGAAAGTGAGGGGCTGATGCTTCTCCTACCCCCAGCCCCACATCCCTGAAGACCTGTATTACCCACTTCTTGGAGGAAGGACAACATTTGTCCTTCCTCTTGGTTCTTCACAAGAGGGGTTGAAAAAAATAAGAGAGAGAAAAGAATAGCTTTTCATACTGAATATACTCTAGATCCAAAATCTTAATACAACACAATATAGACTGTATGACATTAAAAAACAAAACTGTACCTCTCAGAGAACCCTTCTGAGCAGAACCCTTGGAATCTGGAAATGTCTTTCTTGCTGGCATGGGAAAGGTGACTGAGCTGGAAGCCCCTTTGGCCCATTGTAACAAGGTGGTCCCAGGGAAAGGGGCGGTTCCAGGTTCCCTGGTCCACCCAAGGAAGCATGGAGCTGAGCAGGGAGGAGGGAAAGCTGGAGAGGAGACTGGAAGAAGGAAGGAGGATGGATGGAGGACAAGGAGACCTGGAGGAGGCACATGGAGCGGAGAGACATGTAAAGAAGCTGCACTTGCTTCTTGGCCTTGGACTGGTTGGAACAATGTGGGTGAGAGACCCTTGGGGAGGTTAACAATGGCAGATTTTGTGTTGATTTTCATATTGTCCTTCAGTCCCAAATGTGCTGGGGCCTTCTGCCCCTTTCCTATGTGTCCCCACCAGGAGTTGCCTTAGATTTGTGGCAGGCTTTTGGGCCTCAGTGTCCCTGTTTTGGGCCAATCTGTTTGGCTGGGCATTTGCCCACATGGGGATGGGTAAATTTTGGTCCTTGATTTGGAAACTATTTTATCTATTCTTTCCCTTCTCTTCTCTTTATTGCATACTGATTGTATTGAAGTTCCTTTCCATTAAAGGTCTCATGCACTAGAGTATTGTGTTTTGATGCGGCAGATGGCAGAACCTATTTAGATCAGGCAGACTTGGAAGTTCTGGGGTGCCCCTCACCCTTCCTGGTAATGCCATACCATGACTCCTGGTCAGTTCTCTTTCCCACAGAGGAAGAGTTAGCCACTTTCTGCTAGAGCTGAGCATATCACTAGCCAGGGGTCAAGTCAGCTTTATAAACACGCTGACTCTGCAGCCTATAATATGTACACTAGGTGAGCACA